ATAGGTCGACAAATATAAGGTAGATGGACAAATTTGTGTTGTGTACCATGACCTGGGTAGTACTTGATCTGGGTAAGTAATCAGGTGTAAATGATTACTAGGCACAAGCAGATTGTCAGGAAAGAAAGGATTTCTCTTCTGGTTATCAATGCTAGATTTTACATAGAGAAGCCCTTTGAAACCTTTGAATTTCTCATGTGTGAATTGTTGATTGCATTTGCTCGGGTCAATTGACTTTATGTTCTTTGCAATTCCAATAATGTTGAGAGAGGTAGATTGCTATAGGTATATGTAGATAGACGTTCTGGATGCTACAAGAAGAACACATGCACACCTACACCCAAGCTGGCATGGGCTTGGAGGAGGATACTAGAACTGTATGGACGGCAATCATGGACAAAATGGAGTTTCACATGATATCAATCAATTATCATTATTTTGAAATGGAAGTATTTACCATATTCAATTTCTACCCAAACCAATATCACAAGATACATATCAGATCTACTCGTACCTGAGGTCAAGTTACCATTACCATGAAAGTGGTCAAAGCTTTGGAAATGCTGGCGCTGGAAACAACAAAAATTCACAAAATTCAAAAAACGCGTCCCACAAGGAACTTCACTCGCGACTTAGGCAAATTCTGTGCTTTGAGAGGAAACTTGGGATCTTCATTTCTCGAATGTACGGTACCTATTCCTTTACACACATAACTACAATAATCTAGCTCTTTCGGCTTCATCTCCCTCTTTATCTTCTTCTTCTTCTCTTGTTAACTTTCGCGAATAGCTTGCCCACTCACCAATACAGCTTGTTGTTTGACACGATTTCAACGAACAAACCTCCCCTCTCAATTTTGCCCTTCAACGACTTTCGTCAAGATATAGAGAATGCAATGATTATAAAGCTTCTATACAATGAATGGGACTCCTAGAATGCGTTCTGGCTTTCCGCCTACTCCTGGCAGTGGCCAAAGGAATCCGACAGGACGAGTAACATCCCCACTGCGGGATCTTCCAACGGCTTCGCCTGCTGCGATAGAATCCGATGCGCCATTGATACCGGTAGAGCTCATTGATGCTCCTAGCCAGCGCATGTATGTTACGGGATTGTATGGCTTGCTACTTGTTTGGCGTTTATATGATTGGTGGCAGTTGGTAGAGGATGAATCAGAGTCTTTCCCATTATTCATGAAATGGGTAATGCTGGACGCACTCTTTTTATACTGGGTACCAAAACTACGAATACCGTGGTTGGAGTGGTCACAATGGACATCTCATGTAGCTTTTGGGCTGCATGCTATTTTTGATTTCGTGCTCATGTTCAGAATTGGCGTAAGTGGTCCCTGATTCTGTTTTGGTGACGATAAAGCTAAATTGCAAAGCTTCCACTCCAAGGATGGGTTCTACTTCTTACGAAGACCTTTTTCGACAGCGAACTCGCTATTTCAGAGAACAGTGTTCGGCCTGCCACCATTTTACACAACTCATCTTTGATTATGGGTAGGCAAATTATCAACATATTGCCAGAGGGGTACGTCTTGACCAAGGTCATATACTTTACAACTTGCTATATAATACTAATATATAACAGATCCGCGACATTGAATCCGGATGGTCTTCCATTCTGTTTAGACAGTAGTCGACCTTCTGTCAAGCTCCCGATGTATTTTAACCAGACCAAACCTGTACACATTGAATTATTGCGCTTCGACTTCGATACAAATGCAAACGAAACGATAGAGCTGAAGAAAAGAGACATGAAGAACTTTCGAAAGCTGGATGATGAGCCAAACGTTTATACGCTTGATTACATTGTGAAGAAACCGGGATTATACAGGCTTCACAAGATTATAGATCAGTCGAAGCTCGAAGTACAGCGGAGAATGTCTGATACGCTTGTTGTAAAATGCCCTAAAGCCATCATCAGGTCCACAAGCTCGGACAAGTGTCTGGGAGATCTTTCCGACCTCTCTATCGAGCTTGAGGGAACAGCCCCGTTGAAGATTGTGTATGGACGTACCATCAACGACAAAGATCGCAGTTTCCACTTCCAGAGTAATCAACCGGAGAACTTCGTCTCGCCGCTCCTGGGTTCAACTAGGCCTAGCACATTGCTTACCCTAGGAAACCAGGATGTTTCATGGGGACAAGCTAGAAAGGTTGTCATTCCATTGAATGAATCTATGACCCCCAGCGGTTTGTGGTTATACTCGATCAATGAGATTCATGACGCTACTGGAAATGTCGCAAATTTCACGCTTATTGGTGAAGACGGAGAGCTCATCTATCCCAAGAACACACACATGGAACAGAGTCTTACAGTACATGAGAGGCCCCTTGCAAGGCTCTCAGGTTGTGATTCTAGGAGTCCACTTATGGTTGCTATCGGCCAATCCACACAACTTCCGGTAAAATATGCATCGCCTGGCCGAACACCAGACGACACTTCTCATACTCTGACATACAAGTTCTCTCCCCTTGACACCCTGACCGCCGCGGGTGATCATGGCAGCGAGGTGATTTTTGAGGAATACTCTGCCCGCAATGCCCACCAATCGCCAAATATCCGCGAACCAGGTCTTTACACCCTGGTGGGTGTTAAGAGCAAATTCTGTGAAGGTGAAGTCAGGGAGCCTGCTTCTTGCTTACTGCTGAACCCACCCGAGCCGCAGCTGTCTATAAGCGCCGAGAATATCAACGACAAGTGTGCTGGCAATTCCATTGGCTTACTTGTTGACCTTGATCTAATAGGCACTCCACCGTTCGTTGTAAGGTACAACATAATTACAAAGAGTGGTCTCAAGCATGAATCAGTGAAAGTATCTGGATTACGACACCAACTGGAGCTTAAGCCTCGCGATGCAGGTCATTTCAAGTATCAGTTTACCTCCGTGGATGATGCTGTTTACAAGAACCACAAATTGAATAGCAATGATTTAGTTCTGGAACAAGATGTGAAGCCACCGGCTTCAGCCTATCTTAGACGACCTGCAGGTGATATTGACGCATGCATCGAAGAGCCTGTGGAGATGAATGTTGAGCTCTCTGGCGAACCACCTTTTACCTTGGAATACGAGATTGTTCATGACGGAAGACGTCGAAAGCAAAAGGTCACTGGAATCGAAAGCGATATCTACAAGATAAAGACGGATCCTTTGATTACTGGTGGAGAATATTCTCTCGCTCTTGCAAGCGTCCAGGACAAGACAGGCTGCAAGATATTCCTAAACGGCGAGGTCAAATTTATGGTGAGGCACCAAAGACCTCGAGTTGCTTTTGGTCACTTGGATGGCAAGCATAAGATTATGACCATCGAGGGCACCAACATCCCGCTACCTCTTCGCTTGACTGGTCAGCCTCCTTGGAGCATCAAATACCGAAATGTAAATGACGACCCCGGTAAGATTTTGGAGAAGACTGCTATGTCAACCAATGATGCGGTTAAGGTGGATGCTCGTGGTACATACGAATTACTTGATGTAAACGATAATCAGTGTCCCGGGACAGTCGATCCCAAGGCATCCTTATTTGAGGTTGATTGGCTTCCAAGACCGAAAATAAAGGTTGCTGATAATTCGGCTCTTGTGCTGGAGGGTCAGAAATATGTAAAGCATGAAGTATGCGAAGGTGATATAGATGCAGTCGAGGTCAATCTTATTGGTAAGTCAAGCTAATTGCTCAGGGTCATATCTGACTCGGCTAACAACTTACAGGTTCCCCCCCTTACCATGTCAAATATGAGATTCGTCATAAGCCAGAACATGGCTCTGCATCTATCAGTAACAAAGAGTTTGACGCAGGTCTTGGACTTTCAACTGTTTCCATGGACACAATCAAGCCTGGCCTTTATGAATACAAATTCTCGGAGCTTTCCGACAACCTTTATGACCATGACTCGAAGAAGTTTTCGCCGCTCATCATTGAGCAAAAGGTTAACAGGAAGCCAGCTGCGAATTTCATTAAACCAGGACAGTCATATAAATATTGCAAGGAAGAGCTCGCCGGAGATGAGGTTATTCCTATTAAACTCGAAGGCATTCCTCCCTTCTACCTTGAGATCGACATTAAACATCAGAGTAGTGCAAGACCAGAAACTGTCAAAATTGCCAACATCGATTCCAACCATTATGATTTCCGGATACCTCACCGAGTGTTGTCGCTAGGCATCCATCAAGTCAGTGTACGGAAGATTCGCGACTCCAGAGGGTGTCAGCAAAAAACAGAACATGGTGCTCCTCACGTACAAGTGCAAGTTTACGATGTTCCTACTATTCATCCCTTGGAGTCCCGTACAGACTACTGTGTGGGAGAACGAATCGGGTACACATTATCGGGCACAGCGCCTTTTGAAATTTACTATACCTTTGAGAACGTACAAAGGAAAGCTAAATCACCAAACACTAGTTTCAGACGTATTGCCGAGAAGCCAGGCAACTTCACAATAACTGCTATATCGGATAAAGCCAGCGAATGTAAAGCAAAGACTGAGATCACAAAGATTATCCACCAAATGCCTAGCGTTAAGATCAGTAAAGGAAGGCAGGTGGAAGTTGATATTCACGAGGGTGGACAAGCTGAACTGCTATTCGAATTCTGGGGCGTACCACCTTTTGAGTTCACGTACACAAGAAGTACGAACGCGAAGAAGGGCCAGAAGTCTCATGTGCTGGAGACCAGACATGAGATTTCATATGAACACAGCAAGACGATACAGTCTTCGCAGGAAGGTACTTATGAAGTAGTGGCCATTAAGGATCAGTTCTGCTCCTTCTCAACACAGAAAGCGGATGGAAAGAGTGGGCAGAAGTTGCTTCAATATTAAAATGGGGTGGACTTGATGATGCATAGCGCGGCGTTTGGGTAAATTGTATTTAATGGGGAAATGTTGTAATGTCATGAATGGCAATAGATAGATCAGCTTAATAAGTTGAAGCTCCAGTATCCCAACTTTTGTCTTACTTCGAACTTTTCACGTGTACAAATTCTGACATGCCATTGTCAGGATCGCTCTCTTTCCAATTCTTTTAAATAATCAACGTCAAACCTAAACTTCTTTCCCTTGTTCCAATCTAGCCCCCAATTAATATTCCCGGCCTCCACTTTAACCGCCCTCAAAGCTCTCAGTCCATCCAAGATCTCTTTTTTCTGTTCCAATGTGTAGGTCTGCGGGGGCTCTTGCCATCCAATCCTCAAAATTTGGATGTCAGCTCCTGCTAACCATTTCCTCAATTTCTTAATCCCTTTAGTTACTTCTATTAGTCTCGCCTCCGCTTCGAAGTCATCGGGTTTCTGTTTTCGTTTCTCGCTACCAAGCTGGACGGAAAGGGATAAATTCCGAATTGACGAGGTGAGGAATGAGGAGAGAACTAAATCGGAGCGTTGCGTTTTGTGTGTCCAGAGATTGTAGTCGACGGTTACAGAGATAGTTTGAAGGGAGTCGCCGTAAAATATTGGGAGCGCTTCGTGATATATTTGGCGATTCAGATGTAGAACGGCGACTTCGAAGGCGCGAGAAAGATAAATGTGGGATTGGAGTTGGCGAGGATGGGGGCCAAGGCGGGGGTCATTGGAGGGAGGTGTCAGCAAATGACGATAGATTAGTTGGCGGATTTCGACTGGCATACGTAGGAGTGGGGGAAGGATCTCGGGCAAAGGGATCTCATTGAAATCATCATGGATTTCCGCACCAGAGTCGACTCTTGGCAGTGCATTGGAAAGTGATTGAGTGTATTGTTGCAGAGTAAGAAAGTGGGTACGGAGGTCAGATTTGCGGAGCGACCAAACAGCATCTTCTGAGATGGTGAGAACTCGTTCGATTGTAGGTGCCCGTTGTGATATCTTTGCAGCAGCTAGACTTGCCGCTGTGCAGATACGTTTAGTTTTCGAATCTTCGGAAGAGTGTGATTTGTGATTGTAGGTTCGCTTCAGTGGGACAGCTGGAGATGCCATTCTCAAATCGTGATCTGCGTCGGGATGATATGTTGTTATTGTCTTACCGAAGCACAAAGATTGGTTGGTATGCTCGGAAGGTTACGTTACATGGATAGATAGCTCGCTTACTGATCGAGATAAGATAAGATAAGTATCTCAGAGCACCGGCCAGAGCGGCGCCCTTGTTTTTAGTCTTGTGTCCCCGCCTTACCATAAGGCTGAATACATCATTGATCCACTTCATGAATATCGCATAGGTTCAGATATGATAAATTGGTCAACTTCCATAATTCCCGAAATGGAACAATCCTCTGATACTTCTCCGATCGACCCATGTCCATCTTTCCTTACTATTCCTTCAAAGCCACGAGCTCCGATATCTTACACCTTCTTTCCACGCGCATCTTATTCGACCCTCTCAGAATCGAATGTCACGCTACACCACACCCTGGTTGTCTTTGTAAATGGACTTGGTCTTCCCGCTTCCTCATGGGAGTCATGTATATCAGTTCTTCGATCTCGTGTCAAGGAAGCCCCATCACTCTTGACATTTGATCGTTATGGACAGGGGTTGACTACTGCAAGAGATCCTCTAGATGATGGAAATGGTTATGGACATGATTTCATGGACGCTGCAAATGATCTTCACGAAATTATTCTAGTTATCGCTAGTAAAGAACTTGGCCTTGAGAAAACCGATGCCGAAAATGGGAGACTGAGTGTGATATTCGTGGCTGCCTCAGTTGGAGTAAGTACTTTGTGACATTTTTTTCACCCTGCCTACGATAATCGATGAGCCCTGCCTCTTTTCTTCAATTGTGTAACCTCAAAATAACATTCTGCCAGGTCCCCATAGCCCGTCTCTATGTACAATCCCATCCATTCATTTGCGCCGCGCTCATCGCACTTGACTCCAACATCGCCAATGTAGATTATAGCGATTTCCTCCCGGATCCTTTATCCCCCACCTTCGACCCCTCTACCGTACTCGCACCAGACTGCTCACTTCCCCAATATATTGAAGCACGCACGCGGTTGACAAATGTATTTGATTTATCAGTCCCAAACTCTGAATCCATGGATCGACGACCTGGTCCAAGATTACTCCCCTGTGCCGATAAACCTAAACTTATTGGTACGAATGGAAAAGGTCCGTGGCTTACGGTTGTAGGGCACGATCCGGTTACGTTTGCGGATGCGAGTTTAGAAAGAATGGGGACACCCAAGAGCATGAGTATGAGGTTTACAAATCCGTAAGTTTGTATCGTTGCAGTGCTCTTGGCGGGAATGTTTGACTAATCAACGCTGTGAAGATATTGGGCCAAATATAATGCCGGTCTAGTGAGTATCACAGATAAAGATCGATGTGAGGGTGTGAAGATTGCCAGTGGCTGTGGTCACTTTATACAAACTGGTGATCCAGATCTCGTCGCTGAAGAAATTAAGGTTATTCTCAAAAAACTGGGCTTGGCATGAGTGAGTATTTAAATTGGAGTTAAATGAATGAACAAGACTGGCTACTACACGAGATGTCTGACCGCCGAGCTGCTACTTTTCGCCTGCCATTTGTACTCGTGCATCAATGCTAATCCAAATACAATCATTACTTTCTAGTCTCATACCACCAACTTATGCAAAATTTCCAATTTTCCAAGACCAATTAAGGAGAATGAGAAATAAAAGATATGGCACATGATACTGGACACATCTGCTCTCAAACAGTGGAAGTATGTAGCTTAACTTTAACACCGTTGGCAGAGGAATTCGTGAGTTTGAGTTCATGTTTCACAACTGAGTCCGTTGCCATATCTCGAATTATATCAAACCTCTGGGGGGGTCTTACAGTAACGTAACCGGCTTCATTCAAGGCAAATTGCTGCCCGATACAAATCCTTGCACCGCCATTAAACTTTTCAACGTCAGTAAGAAGCCTCGGACGGGAAAAGAGCTGAACCCAAACTTACAGGTAAAAATTCCCATCCCACTTTCTTTCCTTCCCATCTCTCAGGTCGAAACTCCTCGGCGTCATCACCCCATATATCCTTTCTACGATGCATGGCGAAAACACTGTATTCAACTATTGACCCTTTTGGAATAAAGACTTTCGATTTTCCATCCTTTCCACCGCCATGTGGTAGGGTTGTGTCCTTGTTTGCTTGTCTGACGTTGAATGGTACAAGTGGATAAAGTCGCAAAGCTTCATTCAAACAATGTTGGAGAAATCGGCAATTTTTGAGGTCCAAGAAGTTTATTTCCAAAGGATTTTGGTATGTTCCAAAGTTTTCGATGACGATATTACGCAGCTTTTGATAGTGATTGGGATTTTGAGCGAATAAAAGAAACAACCATCCTAGTAATGAGGCCGTCGTGTCTCTACCTGCTAGCATCAAATGTAAGCACTGAGAACGAAGCTCAATGGGATCTTGTGTTTCCTTTGCAAGGGCGTCCAGGTAAATGTATCTCTTCTTGATGGCGGTTGAGTCATCTTTGTCTTGATCTCTGGCCAGTGAGTTTCTGTTGAGAGCAAGTTGAACAAAATGATCGACATATTCGTTGCATTTGTTGCAAGAATTCCTGAAGTCTTTGCTGGAGACCAGCCAGTACATATCAGCAAAACGGCCACGGATAGAAAGCCAAGATAAAGCGTTGTCAAACTCAGCCGCAAAATCTATTCTGGTACCCTGGGCTTTAGTTTGATTTTCTGGCAGATCGAGAAGCTGGGTATCAGCAGACCTAAAACCGTTGTTAGCTTAGGTATCATTGTACAGCATCAAAGATTATTGCAATACCGCCCCCGGAATATTTGGGGGGGAAGAATTTTCCACGATCGGCCTCCAGAGCTATCTTGAGCATATCAAGACCGAAAGGCCAACGGCTGATAGTGTCTTTCGGTACTGGCTCTTGACACTCGAATTTGCGCAGTTTGGAAGAACATATGTGTGATTTGTATATCCTGTTCACAATGAAATAGAAGAAGAGGGAGAAAGCTACCCAAATACTTATAGAAGCCATATCTCCAACGTGCAGCAAAGAAAGGCACAGTTTCGAATAAATTATACAACGTGTTCCTCCAATACTTGAGAAGAAGCGGCAAACACTGGAATGTGAACGATAACGAACGAAGCAAATATGGTCACATTGGTGATCGAGTAGCTAAGTCAACATCGCGTCCAAGTCCCAACAGTTGGCGGCGTATACACACTATATTAGGTCCGCCAAAGGAAAATACCGAGGGTCCCGAGGTTTTTTCTAATAAAAGTCTTATTGATCTGATAGCCAATGTGCAATAGTAGGTATTCACTGTAAATGTAGTCTCATACGGAGCACACCCACTACCTAGGTACTTTGCACAGAATCTAGATGTGACCCTATCACATCGTCATGCCCCATATTTTGTAAGCCACTTTGTCAATCCACCAATCATAAATTCTAGAACAATTGATTCCTGATAACTTGAAGTTCATTGGTTGTTGAAATCCCATATCGCGAATTGGACACGAAAATTCGCCATTCTATCTAGAGAGGTAGTGAGCAAAAGACAAAAAGACGCGCTCTCAAGGATTTCCTTCCCTTCTTCTCCACTCCTTTCCCTTTCCCTATCCCACACGACCCCGCTACTTACATCTCGCCGTCTCTTCCCATCATATATTTTCTTACCGCCATAACATAGAATACAATAAAACTAACCAAACTTATCACATCTTTCATATCCCTACCAGGGATTCACTTCCTGGATATTAGCTTCCCACCAAAACACCAAGCTTCTGCTCGTACCACATGCAGAAAGAACATTATAAGAGCCGTCAAATTCATATACAAAGTAACATAATCGTGAGAATAGGAGTTGATGCTCGTAAACATCAATGTGAATCGTAAACGTAAAATAAGTATAAATCAGGGTAGAAGATCAGGGTAGAAGATCACCACCCAATTGCATGCCAAGTCCGGTATGCTTAGAAGCAGGACTGTCACGCCTTGATGGGCTTGCATTTTGTGGATGGAAGTTCTCAAAAGTCAAGTGCCTACGTGCAACAGTCAATGGGGTCTTTGCAGCTCTTGGGGTCCAAGTCGTTTGAGCTGGACTCGGTGTTATGTTGACAAAATCGGCAAAGTCGAATCCTTGTGAAGGTGTGGCCGGCGCACCAAATATCGAAAGACCACCGCTATAACTAGGAGTGGTCATCATAGATGATGGCAAATCAAGCTTCCTGGACGGTGGTGTAGATGGTGGCTGCATCATGCTCGTTCGTGAAATTGGATTTGCGGGGCTACTGAGGTACAGTAAAAGATCCGCTTCTTCTTCTGCTGACCTGCCATTACCTTCTTTGATTCGACGGTGTGGGTTGCCTCTGTTCCTAATGGGAGACGGGGTTCGCGGAGACGAAGGTCGGATATTAAAAGAGTGTAGAGGCAGGTAGCTGTCTTCATCGTCAGATGGGGCTGCGAAGTTGGGGGAGGTAAGGTCATCTGGCATATGTGAAGATCCCCGGTAGAACGAGAGATCCGGTCCCGCCGAGGTGGTGAAGTGAGGTTTGCGTGGCTTGATAGGAGACGACTGGGCTAGTTGACGGTGACTTTTCCAGGAGCTATTTGGTTGACGTAATAATCTACTTGGTGTGGGGGAAGAGCGAACTCTTTTTCGAGATCCAGCTGTTGAGCTTGGTTGTTGGAAAGTAGTGTGGTACGACCTCTTCCTAGGCCCAGTGCTGCTACCACTCGATACAATTCGATCGGAAAATATGGCGGTGGCTTTCAAAGGGGAACTCAGTAAGGTTCTTCGGTTCGAGTAAGGTAGTTCAGACGCAACACTGGAGGATGAGTCCGATAACATATCTCCACTTGAGGTTGGCCGTCTTCTTCTTAGTTCTTCTTCCATCCTTGGTTCTATTGTATCCAGTGTAAGATCTTCCCAACCCCTTTCGGCTTTGAATTGTGCGAGCGCCAATCGATTCTGCAGTTTCCGAGCCATCTAGATGATTTGATATTAGTATAGTGTTGGGGCAATGGACTTGATTCGAATAGCACAAGAAGGTGTCTACCTTGCTCAACTCAGCTCTTTTCAATACCGCTCCCGCTACCTCCTCTGGCTGCTTCTTCCATGGGGAAGACATATTAATCAATATCTAGTATGCCGATAATATTGATCTGCTTGTTGATGAGGCTGCGAAAGAAGTATATACCAGAGGCAAATATTATGGACAGTGTTAAAGGTAGAAGTGTAAGGTCGGCGCCAAAGGTCGAAATTAGCCTTAGCTTCTTCCACCTGTTTTTTTTTTCTTGGACGAGTTTTCCGTTGCGGGTCAACAGCAAAATAAATGAATGATTGTGCAGAAGTTTTTATAAAATTATCTCCCCCCCAAATTCGAATTTATGGTATAGTTTTTCCAAAAAGTGAATTAATTGTATGATGATTGAATGGTACGGGTTGAGGATGAAGAGGTCAGAATTCCGTTGCTCATTCCTGGGACCTGGTGGACTGCACTGCTACTATCGCTTACAAGGGGAAGTGATCAGACTGAGCTGCTAAGGGGCTATTGGTCTAGCGGTCTAGCGGTAATTTTTTAGGTCTTCAGGTTCTGTAATGTGCTCAAGACAAACGAATTATAGGGCTCAGGGACATTGACAGCTTCTCGAGAGCCTCTGGGTAAAAGGACGAAAGAAAGCAACAGAGAGAGAAAGGAAGACATATTGCAGTTGGAAAAAAGGAAATCGGACTTTTCAGCATTGACCAATGATAGATGGTGTTTTTGAGAGTAAGACTCGAATTCTAAATATCAAACAGTCTGTTGAATTGTATCAGAATCCGATTGGGTTCAGATTAATGAAGTTTAGGCCGGAGTAGATTGTCCATATACGAGATGGGACACTTACCTATTACATCTCGAATTGTGTTATATAATAAGACTATCCGTCGTAGTTTATTGAATCATTGTATGGAGGGCGCGTCTAGAAGGTACGTACAGAGAGAGGATGGTATGATATAGCTGTACTCACTCCACGAGAATCATGCATTATTAGACCATCTCGCACGTTGCTACGAGTCTACCTCCCTACCTACCTATGTACCTACAATATACTGTACGGAATGTGTAGTTACTACTTGCTGGAGCGAGTAGTAGCTACACACAGTCTTGTTTGTTTTTCGAGCCCACGAGTCCACCAGGCCCCCCAAATATGAGCGTCTTCTCTTCCTTTAGCTATCCGTACCGTACTCACCAGTAGCTAGGACAGTAGCGAGGATAGCGAGAAAGAAGTCTTTGCTTCCTTTAGTCCGTACCTGTGCCATTACAACGTCATCTTTTACCATGTCTCCTCTGAAGTCTGCAGTCTGGAGTCTGAAGTCTGGAGTCTGGAGTCTGGAATGCGCAGTCAACACGGCAGATATGTTGTGTAGGAATTAATTGGCCGCAGCACATAAGACAGCATGCTAGGTATCGTAGGTACAATTGAATCATGATTCTCATGTGATTGCAGCAGTGTAGGTAGATGAAGTGAATTGGGTTACACCACTGCTAAAATCTCCCTGTGTCAAAGAGATGCTTTCGGAACATCAATGGAAGGTATTGACGATCATTCATCAAACATGTGTCTCTTGTTGAACTGTATTTCGTTGGCTGGTTGGATAATCATGACATGTTATGTCATGTCATGACATGTATTGTTGGATTGTTGTATTGTTGTATTGTGTTGCAACGGGTGATATATATTGGCTGCAGTATCAGTATCAGTTGAAATGCAGTTGAAATGCAGTTGAAATGCAGTTGAAATGCAGCCCCCATTGCAGCCCCCATTGCAGCAGCATTGGGAATGATCCAAAAAAAGAATCTTGAAATGATTGGTTTCATCCATTGGCTTACGCTACGATGCGATACGATACGACGCACGATGCACTGTCTGTGTGATCATACCTAGTCCTCTTTTTCAGTTCCGTTCAACATAAAGTGGATGGATTATGGATAACATAGGTAGCTGGAGCTCATGGATGTCATTAGTTGCAAGGGCCCCCGGCGATAGATGCTACTAGGGCGGTAGGAACTATAGATATCCTTGAAAGCATGCTCCCCGCCAAACTTGTTGCCGTTGCCGTCTTGTCTTGTCTAGTTAGTAATAAAAGTTCCAAGGTTGTCTTTCAAGTTTCAATGTTTTCGATTTTCCAGCGTAGTACGGAGTTGCTAGGTAGGATGTGATATGTAGATGGATGGGTTAGTTTTTATCATGATGTTACTGTCTGTATTCACATTCATGTTCATATTCATGTTTGTGTTGGTATTTATATTTACAAATAGGTGGTGGCTATATATATGCCTACCTAGGTATATAATGGCATTTCTTATCTGCCACTTACTTTTGTACTATCACGTACCACCTGCATCGACTAAACTACTACCAGGAACTTATTACTTATTACCTAGTAACCAACTTCATCTCCAACCCGTTCCACTCATCTACCACCTCCTACCTACGTCCCTCACTACGTATTTTATAATGAATTGAAGATCATCTACCTACTTTCCTATTTTCTCTTCCAATTTCAACTCAATTGAACAATATCTACCTACCTAGCTAATCCAATCCCCTCTTACAATCTACACGTAGTAATAATAATAATGATAAAATAATCGAATCTTCTCAAAGAATCCTCCTTGATATCATTTCCGAGGTCATCCATCACTACACCCCTTCTCTTTGTTGTTATTGTCCATCTGCTTTTGATACGAGCGCTCAGTTATGCTGGATTGATTGGAAAACGTTAAATCCATTAATATTTTTAAAAACATTCACAACCACCATCCACACCTTCGTTTTGCCTTTCTGAAAAAGGATCTGCCTTCTTTGATTCCCCATTGATTAATAAATATCCCTGGAGAACCTCTTTCCTCTTAGCCCCCCATCAGGACCATCAAGCAAGAAGCTTTATCATTTTAGTCCCAGAAC